GATCAGGTGCTACCTGCTCATAGCTTCAGTCAGATCTGAATGTTGTATATTTGGACTGTGGGACTTGAAGATTTTTAGATCATACATGTATACCTCACAATAACCCTCATTTGCATTGATTTTTTTTTTTTTTAAATGGTTGCTCAGGCTAGTTTTAACAGAATATAATTGAAATTGTGTTTTTCTAAATAAATATCTCTGCATGATACAATACCCAGGCAGTGTATTTCCATGTCTCTGCACTGCCAGCAGTGAGAGCTGCCTGCAGGCAGACCCTGGCTCCCCGTCAGGGCGAGCTGCAAGCCAGGGCTGGCCGCAGCACTCTTCATGGAGATGCTTTTGCCGCATGCATGTAACAGCAGCTGACAGCCTGAAAGCTCCCAGATGGCCTCATGCAAAGCACACCTGGTTACACTGATTGCTCTGGATCGGGTATAAAGTCTTGGCCACTCCACATTGGTTTGTGGGGTTGTTGTGTTGTGTGGTTTTCAGCAAGTGCTGCTGCAGGATTGGGTGCCCTAGCAGTGTGTGGCAGCCCTGAGAAGGTGAGTTCAGGCTGGGGGGGTGGAAAAGTCCCAGCTTGGTGGGGCTTCAAGTGCAAAGGGAGGGTAATTTTTCCTGTTGCCTGGTAGTTGAGGGAGTTCCCTTGTGCCGCAATGAGTGGCTGCATAGAGGTGCTGCAGCAAGAGCTGAGCTGTGTTGCCAGGGCATCTGGGCAGGCTCTGCTCTTGGCTTGGGGGCTGAGCCAGTTTTTGGCTGAAGTCAGGGTGAGGTGTGTGTGGTGGCCCTGTGCCTCCCCTGGGGCTGCGTGGTGTGGAGGGGGGGGTGGTGGGGCAGGGGGGCTGCTCAGGGGTGTGGTGTGGGGCTTGGGGCAGGACCTTGGCTCTGTGCTGGGGCTTGGGAACTGGAGCAGTGCTGGTCTGCCTTCTGCCCATCCAGGGGATGCTGGAGAAGGGCAGAGCGGGGCGGTGTTGGGCATTTCCAGCTCTTCAGGGCCTTGAGGTTTGCTGGCTGCTGTGTCCTGGTGAGGGCCAGCATACTGTGGGGCAAGCGTCCCAGGAACCTGCTGGTCACCCCATTCCCTGGGTTTCTGCGTGGTGGTGCTGTCTGGCTTTAAGGCTGCTCTCAGGAGAGGGGTTTTGGTGGCTGCTCCAGCAGAGCTGGTGCTGTTTCCCACTTGAGGCAGCAGAAGCTGCAGGCTGTGCTTATTGCCTCTTGCCTCTCTGCTTCCCTTTACCTCCTGAAAACTTCCCGGGTTTCTGCCTGCTGATGCCAGAGCCCTCCCTGGGATGTGGAGGTCAATAGCCTGCAGGGCTGAAAAACTGCTTTAGATGCTTGTACCTCAGCCAGAGGGAAGGACCTGTTCTCATGATGGTGCTTGGGTGAGGATAAGGTGTGGAGATTGTTTTCTATGTCTTACCTGTCTTTGCTGAGCTCCAGGTTTTTTATTTTTCCATTTGTGTGAATATTTCATTTTTTCCTTCCCCTGCTGAAACTGTTGCATTAGCAGAGCTTTAAGGAAAACTCTGCAAGATAATTATCCCAGCTCTCCCTTGTGGATTTGCCATGTGATGGTGTGTCTGCATGGGGGTATTAATAGTATCGTAATATTATATATCAGTTTTCATCCTGAAGTGCTTCACATGCAGAGGGACAAAGCCTAAATAGAAAGATGCAGCAAGTGAAATGGAGCTTCCTGCCTTGCCTACCAGATCCCTCAGAGCCGTGGGATGCGAGAGGAGCCTTTTTGTTGGTCTTTCCCCAAACCTGAGTTTGGCCTCCTGAGTCCCACTGAAGTCCCTCAAGCATTTGCCCTGCGCTGCTCCGTTGCGGAGGCTGGTCCCCAGTGGGCTCCCTGCCCCCCGTGCTCTCGCTGCAGCTGATGGCCTGGCTGCAAACAGCACCCTGCATCCTTCCCCCTTCCCTGTTCTCCTCCAAAACAAGCTGCTGTCCCCACACCCCAGCAGCGGTGTGTCTGCTGTGGGGTTGTCCCTCCCCGAGGCTGGGTCTGTGCTGGGCACCGCTCGCGAGGGCGGATGAAGCGGGATCCGTGCTGTCCCGATGGCTGCGTCCCCCAGCCTCGCTGGCTGGATGCCCTCTCCCACTTCTGAAGGGCCACGCTTGGCTTCGGTCACTTGCTGCTCCTCCTGCGTGAGCCCGTGCAAACAGGAGGAGCTTTGAGCTGCGCTGGCAACTCGGAGATCAGGATAAGCACACTTTAATCTCTCAAGCTCCCTCTTCAACCATCTGCCCTTGTATCTGGGGCTGTGGAGGGTGAATATCACGGGTGTGGTTGCGTTTCCTCACAGACACCTTCCACATGTTCCACTAGCCCCCCCACTCCACGCTGCCGGCCTCCCTCTGCATCCCTGCTCTTGCCTGTCAGAAAGGCTGGGAACCTGGCAAGAGAGCCAGCCTTGCTCCTGCTCTGGGTGAGCAGCAAATGCTACCGAGCCCCGTGCCATGGTGCCACCTTCCCTCTTCTCAACAGGGAATGGGAAGAGTCAAAATGCTGCAGTGGGGAGGAAACCATCCGGGCAGCGGTAGCTGAGAGTCTGTCCTGGGTGTCAAGGCGTGTGAGGGACTGCACAGTCCTGCTGTAGCAGAGAAACGTGCTCAAGGTCTGCTCCCTGCAGCCCACTGTCTTCTGTGGCACTCCCTTGCAGCCCTCCAAGGCTTTGGGGTTCTGACAGAGCAAGAGGCTGACCCTTTTGCAGCAGGGCCGCAGGCACCCCGGGGGCAGCTGAAACCTGTTCTCTGCGAGCACTGCCCAGGCTAGAAAGGGGGTGACGGCTGTAGCCCTCGCTTTCCTGAGGGGCCAGGACGGGGAGTGTGAGGCCTCTTGCACAGAGGACAGCTGGTGTGGTACAAGCTGCTTGTGTGAACCCGTGTTTGCAAGGAGCCTCCTACGGAGGTGAGGCATCCAAGCAGGGCCAGGTGAAGCTCGGAAGCCTGAAAACTACCTGTGTGTTGCTGTTTGGGGTTGAAACTACAAGGTTGTGGACGTTCAGATGAATGAGCAATTGCTTAGAGGCTTTAGACCCCTGCTTGTCTCAAATGACCGAGGGAAGCGCTGACAAGTCCAGCTGGGATCTCCCATGTGTTCCCCCACTTGAGGTGGCTTTGGGGGGAGGGAGCAGAGCTTTGACACTTTGGGGTGTCACAGAGTGCGTGAAGTATGGATGGTTAAAATGCGCAGGCGAGTTCTGGCGGGCTGTTGGCCCTTGCAGCAGCGCTGCCTTTGGGAAATCTCCCCTGTGACAGCTCTGCCACCCACCAAGGTCTGCTCCGCTCAGGCATGCATGGCCGAGCCCCCAGCAGCGTGGGGGCTGCTCTCACACGGGGAGCAGGGATAACGTGCCTGGAGTCATTTCAACGTGTTAAAATTGCAAAGAAAACCCAGGCGAGGAGGATTGCTGGTAGGTGTGTGCACAGGGGAATGGCAGGGTGGCTTTTCCCTTGCTTGCCTATCTCTATTTCAGAGGTGCAGGCAAGGCTCCTCACCAGCCCTCTGCTCCCCTGTAAGGCTCTGGGTTGTTAATTCCTTAAGCAAGGCATGCCCTGGCCCCTGCCTCTTCTCCTCTGATGATACAGATGCGGGCTGCTGTCTACTGGATGCCCTCCAACACCCAGCTGGCAGGAGGAGTAAGACCCATTTTGATCCAGGGCTGATGGGGTTTCTCCAGGCTACGTAAAGAGACTCTGCATTTCATTCCAGCTGTCCAGCAATAGAATATATTTAACTTTAAAAAAAAAAAAAAAAATATCCACAGTATCAAAACACAGCAAGTCACAATGCAATACTTGGTGATATAAATAGGCATACAAATGGTCCTCTGTAACCCCTTAGTTTGGGCTGTTATATGAAAATGAAAGGTGGGATCACCATCAGGGTGCAGACAGCACAGGTGGCCATGCACCCATTCCCTCCTTCCTAGGATGGAAAAAACAGATACACCCAAGCATGGCCAAAACGAAGGAAAACATGGACTTGAGCCAGCGATAGACAACTTATCCCCCCTCCCAGCCTGTGGAGCAGTGCCTGTAACTGTATGTGTGTGGTGGGTGGAAAAGGGGTGTGTGGGTCAGGGTGGGATTGCTTGCTGGGTTTTTGGAGGATTGCTGCCATCACCACCAGGCAGTGCTGGTGGAGGTGAGCCCCTGTTTTGATCCCAAGCCCAAATGTGTCGTTCCCTTTGACCTGCCTGCTGGAAGCATCTTTAGAGTTGGAATTGGAGGATTCCATTCAAAGAAGGATTGAGCTACTCTCGCCTTGTCAGTCCTAGAGTCTGCATGAAGCCTTCACATCCCACTGCACCGTTCTGGTGGAGGGGATGGGGGGGGGTGTGTCGCTTCTCTCTGGCCAGTGGGTGGGTGCAAGAGAAGCAGGATTGAATTTTAGCCTGGCTCTAGTTATGCACACAAATGACAAGAGGAGAAAGGATAGCTTGTCATGGTATGGGCTCGTGGGATTCACTGTAACTAACCCTGGTTTAGCTGGTGCCATTGTCACCTGAGGTTTTACAGCATGCTAGTCCCACGCGGGGATGGAAATGCCAAAAGCCAGTTTGGAAAATAAACTGCAGCACTGCCTGAAAGTGCATTGTGTGCATGAGCATGTGAAGTCAGCTAGAAAATACAGGGGGGTGTTATCATGCCGTGGTTAGCAAGCGTGTGGGAGAAGACATTGCTTTCGACTGGGAGGAATATCTGATCTAGCCAAGCTTATAACTCTTCTTGTGTCCGGGCTTTGAATGTCAATGAACTCCTGGTGATGTCTTGTGGAGGATGCAGTTTGGGTTGAATAGTAATAATACATTCTGGCTGGAGTGTATGCGTGTATGTGAACTGCAGGGTCATCCCAAAACAAGTAGGAGGCAAGGCAAGGGTGGAATAAAACAGCCCCCTGAAGAATAACGAGACCATGACTCCTCAGTTTCCCGTCCATGGAGCTCAGCACGATACCCCTTGCGTCACGGCGAGGCTACAACAAGGGGCGATTTCCAGCAGAACTGAAAGATCTTTAATAAAATGTGTGACAGTGGGTGCACGTCGGGAGGAACGGGCAGCACAGGTGGAGGCAGCTCGCGCAGCTGACCCTGCCCGCCGCACGGCTGCGTGCCGGAGCCGCTCCCGGCACAAAGCCCCGCCGACCTCCGCGTTCACAGCCCAGAGCAGCGAGCGTGATCAGGCAGGCAAAGGGCCGGGAGGGTGGGGGCCATCTGCCATAGCACCTTTTCCACGGTAATTATGGTTTTGGGAACACTGATGAGCTTAGGAAAAAAAAAAAAGAAACCAAAAAAACATTAACGTGCTTGGCATTGAGGTGGGTGGGCTGACCCAGAATGAAACTGGTTTACGACTGGCCACAAATTTCAAAAAGACATTTGTTTTGGTTCCTACCTGGAATTGCTTTCCATTGAGTAGTAAACCAGCTGTTCAGCTCAGCTGGGTTCAAGTACCAAGGAACTATTTAATTAAAGCCCTTTTTTTGAGTAACCTGGTTTTCACGATCAGGAAAGAGCAGCAGAAAATACTGTGTCGCCGGCGGACGGGGGTGAAGCAATCGCATTTATTCTTCGTTACCTGCTATTGCTCTTTAGCTGCAAAACTTGCATCTAAAACATCTATATTTAAAAAAGCAGAAGATGATATCGGGAGAGCCTGGTGCCGTGCACCTTTGACCAGGTCACGCGTTGGCTGGCGGTGGCCTCCAGCTGCGCGGGCGAGGAGGCAGGGCTGGGTTTGCAGCGGCTCCCGCGAGGCGAGTTGCCCGGCCCCGGCGCTGGTGGGCATCCCGGAGCGCGTGGCCTCCCTCTGCGGCGCTCCGAGAAGAGGCGTGAAAGCGCCGGGTGATTAACGTGGCCCTAAAGAGAAAGACAAGCGTTGCCGATGGGGGAAGGCGCCAAATCAGCACTCGTAGCCGTGTCTTCACTGCGTGGCTCGCCAGCGCGTGAGCTGTGGGCGCTGTGCACACCCCTCCGGCTTGCTGCCAGCAGCCCCAGCGCAGGCTCCCCAGGACGGGCTCTGCCTGGTCTGTCCCTGGCACAAAGCTCTGCTCTCTTATGAGGGGAGGAAAGACAAGTCGAGGGGAGTGTGTGTGATATTAAAGATGGAACTGAGCAGACCCCCTTCGTGACCATTAAGTCTTGAAATCCCCTCTGTCGCCTCCAGCTTCCCCAGCCCTGCCCTGCGGTTCAGCCTCTGAGTGTGCTACGGCCTGTGTACTTGCCCAAGGGAGACCCAAAATCAGCCTGAGGGGCTCCCCACTGCCTGAGAGTGTGCTGCTGTTCACACCTGGGCTGGGGGGAGCCTGGGGGTGCTGGTTTTTATCATCATTATTACTGCAGTGGGGCAGCTTTGGGGAAAATGCAATTTGGTGCTCACTGCCCAGTAGCAAGGCCAAACTATCAAGTTGCTCCTGTCCTAAAGCAGAGAGTGGGAATCAGTCTGGTGGTAATTAAAATCCCCACAAGAGGCAGAAATGAGGCCTCGTCCTGGGTGTCCGTTTGACAGATTTCAGAGCCTCCAAAGTGGTGTGCTTGGCTATTTGGTTGGTTTCACCAATTTGATAGAAAGGTCAAAAATAAGAAAAATTTTTATAGAGCAAAACCTGAAATGAAATTATAAATCCCACGTCTCCTGTGCAGTGCTGCTGTGCCAAACTCCCTCCTGCAGTAAGTGCAGCCAGCACACATGTAACTGAAGAGATGTTCTCTGGAGACCTGTGGCAGTCCCAGGAAGTGCAGCATTTCCATAGAAGCCCTTCCCCAACTAATCCAATTTTCCCATCCTCACTAGACTACAGGGACAAACAGCACCAAATGTGACCCAAAAGGTCAGCAAAAACCCTGGCAATGCCGACAAGGAGCTAATCCTGCCACTTTTTGTTCCCAGGGGACCTTTTGTATAGGTGCTGGGTCTCTGGGATGAGGTATCTGCTGTTGGTCTGACATTGGAAGCCACAGGAGACATGACTTTTGGCAGTTTAATGCCCAGGGAAAATGTCAGCTTGTTTAACCATCCCCAGTCTGAGACTTCTTGCGCTGCCTGCCCACTAAATGTTTAAATCCACCTTCTAAAAGTGAATCCATTTTCATAGGCACCAGAGCAAATTGTTCCTAAGCCAGACCTGGCTGCTCCTGCTTCAGAGCTTCTGCACCCAAAGGCTTTGCCTGTTTTCTTTTCAACACCTCTGCTAGCTGGACCAGTGAAACCTGTTAGCCATGTCAGCAGAGGCTCCCGCACATCCATCCTGAGGCCACGGCACAACTAACATGATGCTCAAGCAGTGTGAGGAGTTTGCATGTGAACCAGCCATTCTGTTTTGGCAAATGTGAGAAGTAACCATTGCTCTTGGTCATCGCACTCGCTGCAGCTGAGCTGGCAAGTTGTTTGGGTGGCTTAATGACTAGTTATAAACCTCAAAAAAAGAGTTCCCTCTGATCACAGCAGCAGCTTGTGAAGGTATTTTCCAGCAGTTTGCGCCTGGTTAGGATCCTATCTACCCCTTATTTTCCCAGGTGGGAAATGAAGGAGCAGAGCTTCTCTGTCTCGCAGTAAATGCTGAAGCTCAGTTCTGTAACATCTATACAGTCCTGCAAGCCACAGACCTGCAGATGCTACAGCACAGGTCACTGAGCGGCCACCCTCTTCACCGGTCCTTTTGGCAGAAGTGGTCAAACAGAGTTGAAATTGTTGAACGTCATGAGCAGAAATCCTTTCAGTGATTGCTGTGGCAAATGTAATCTTGGGAAGCTCATCCCTTGGCTTTAACACAGATGTCAGATGGCTCTTGGGTTTTATCTCTCCACCACTGACCTACTAGGAGTTGATTTTTCAGAGTGCTGTTGTCTTGCAAGCCTCTCTTGGCAAAGCAAGGTAACCATGTCTCGCTGTGGCACAGCACCATGGCAGGATAACTGCACTGCTTTCCCTCTCAAGCATGTCCAGCCTTGGGTTAACAAGAAGCATCAACTGGTGCTTGTCTTCCAGAGAAACCTGCTTCACTGCTGCCTGTGTGGTGCGGCATGTGTCTCTCTAAAAGCTGATGTTTTTCATCTGTCTTCCACTGAAATTACAAACGATCAGCTTTCCTTTCTGCACTGTGTTACGGATCTTTGCTTTCTGTGGAGCAGCCCAAAAAGCTGAGCTCAGGACCCCCAGTTGGATACAGGGTACTTGCTAAATACCCGTTTCTGGCTGGCCAGCATAGCAGTATGAGCCACTGCTTAGGGGCGAGGCAAAAGAAATGGAGCCTGAGTTATTCCTGTGGTTCTGCCATGGGTTTGCTTTGGAGTCTGGTAATTTAACCTTACTGCATACTGCTGTTTCTCAGCTGAACAACAGGGCTGGCGATCTGTCTATCATCTACAGATGCAGAGGGTTATTCTTAGTATGTGGCCAGGACCTGTGAAATACTGCTTTAAACTTAATCAGAAGGGTCTTTCACAAATCCATTTCATGTTGATTTGTTTCCTCTCCTCTTGCTAACCATGTGCCAACAGCCAGTTTAAACATATGTCTCCCATAGACTACAGGCACTGTAGGTGATGTGCTCAGTGGGGCTTGTGCAGTTTTCCAGGTGTTTAGCTGAGTGTGTTGGCTCAGGCACACCATGCTCATACACCAGGTAGTACTTGCACATGCACAAAGGGAGTATCTGCAAAATGCCCCAGCTGAAGTCTGGCTTGGTAAAGTACACAATGAATTGTGTTACACATTTTCACCCTTATTATATAGGTTCCGTTTGCTCTTCTGATTAAGGCTGCTGAGATCACAGGAGGTGCTTGAGCCAGCAGCTTCCTGGCTTGCAGCAAGGGCTGGTGCTCCCAACGCTCCCGACTCTCTGCCTCTTTCTCCTGTTCAAGCAGCCCAAAGCTTTTTATAGCACACAGTCATCAAAGGGTGGGATGAAAAAAGTTTGTCATCAGCTCTGATGCCCACACTGGATAAATGCACATGGTTTGGATGGGTCCCATCCCACCACCGGTTAGCTGGGACTGTAGATTGTACTTTATCATTAGCCCTGAAGAAGGACTTGCTGAGCTGGGAGAGCAGAGAGGTATGGGTGCCTGCTTTCCACAGGCTGTGGGCTCACAGGAAAGTGTGGGCAGGTGGGAAACATTCCAGGAGGGAAGGTTCTGTGTTACAACCAGAGGGCCTGGAGCCCTCAGGAGAGCACCTGGGGCTACAGGGAGGCTAAGCCATGTTTCCTGCTGGTGTAAACATCAAAGAAGCTTCCTACTCCATCAGCTCCCTGGGGGACCACCAACAGGCACTCTGCCCGGTGCAGGGCCCTCCTCCTGCACCCCCGGCAGGCAGCTGTCCTGCTCTGTGTACCCCTGCGATGCCCCTGAGGGTTAAACGCAGAGCAGCTGGAGAACAGCCGGCTGGTCTGTGCTTTCTGCCTGCAGATACTCAGGCAAGGAGACACACGTGCTCAGGGGCACTTGCTGCTCTCTGACACCTCGGCTCTCTTCGCAGCAGGAGTTATTTTAACTGACAGGATCAGCTCTGCATGGAAAATGAAAACCTGCCTTAAAAGCAAACCATCGTGCTAGGAGGGGCCGGGAGCTTGTAGGGCAGTGGGGTTTGCCACCGTCCCCTTGCCCACCGGCTGCCTCTCTGCAGCAGCAATGGGCTGGAAGCGGGTCTCGGCTCCGTCACGCTTGGGGGGCTCCCAGTTTTGGCAGCGAGTTTGCGTGAAGCTCCTCTCGCTGGGAAGACCCTCCCCAGGCAAGAGCATCAGCTCAGTTTTGCCCTCTTTCAGCAAGGCTCCTCCAGCCACCTTTTTGGAGTGGAAAAGCAGCCAGTTGCTGCCACCAGGTTCCCCCTGGCTGATTTCCTCTCACCCTGCTGAAACACCAGCCAGGATCAGAGGGGTCACTCTGCCTGGATGCCCAATTTAGTTTTGTGCATCATGTGTTCAAACCGCAAAAACACAGCCCTGCCCCATTTGGCCATGGGCCTTCCAACCATGACCACTACTAAGCACCTGGTTAGCACCAAGTCGTGATCCCCAAGCTTTGGGCACTTACCCTGGAGAAGTGGAGCGGGGACACTGCTTCAGCCAGGAGCACACGCTGCGCTGCAAGAGGATCCATTTTCAAAGCATGGAGACGCTGCCAGCAAGTCCTTTTCAGGGGGAGGGCAGGAAAAGTCTGGATTTTGGGGGCTCCTCCAGTACTGTTTTATGCTAGAAGCTTTTGGCAGCACGTGGCTGCACCCACCGCCCTAGAAGCCAGGCGCTGTGGGGCACCGGTCCCTTGCTAGATAAAGTCTCCCCAGGAGCCGGCGGGAGGTCTGGTCTTCGCATGGTGCCAGAGGTTGGAAGCAGGGGACGGCCCCAGTCAGTTCAGCAGTACAATACGATTTACAGCAAGCATGTTTCTCAAGACATCTGCAAGGACAGAGCTTCATTGAGCATCATATATACACAGATGGCAGAACAGGCTGGGCTGAGCCCTCCGCTACCGCGAAGCAGTCAAGGATGGACTCTCAGGGTGGGGAAAAAGTACCACTGGTTTGCTTTTACATACTGTACATATATTTATTAATAGCTCCTCGGCGTTTGATGTTCACAGCCAGTTTCCTTTAACGGTGAGCGTAAAAAGGAGGCAAAATGTCTTCAACTACTTCCCCCTGGGAAGAGAGAGAAAGCAGCATCTCCCTCTCCCCCGGCTCAGCTGCCTGCCCAGGTGCCACCTTCGCCAGGGGTGTGTCCTCCTCCCGGCACCCTCCTCCTCCTCATCAGCCGCCCACCACGTGCTGGCCAGGGCCAGTCCTAACCCACGCCGTGTGTGCCCCATCTCCGCTGCTCAATGGGATCAGTGCAAGTCTCCGTCGGCTGCTCTGCACCTCCGCTCCGCTGGACAGGCAGATGAACCGGGTTCAAACAGAAGGAAACAAAACAAAAGGAAGAAGAAAGACAAAGGGTAATGAAAAGGTCCGTGGCCCACAGCTGCCCAAGGAAATCTCTCGCCGTGTTTCTCTGACCATACTTGTCCCAGCCACTACAGCTGCTGTGGGATCCCCTGTTCCTTGTAGCCTGTGAGGAGGGAGGGGAAGGGAACATGATTAGTGTGAATCCCTAATGAAGACCCTCATCAAGGCTCAAGCGAGCCTGGTTCACCAGGAGTGGCAAACCATGTGAGAAAATAGGGGGGCTGCCCCGGGGCAGGCTCAGGCCAGCAAGCCACCCTGCCTTGCTTTAGCCAACACCTGCCCCGTGCAACCAACTACCTCGCCGGGCACGGCGCCGCAGTGGCCGGTGGCCAGCCTTGCCGCTGCGGTGGCTACCGGCCCCGGCGTGGGCAGAGGCACGTCTGCTTGGAGAGGTTATAAAGGCACTTGTAGGTACCAGTGGCCAGCAATTCCAATACAGCCCAATAATCTGAAACTTCTGTGGAGCATGTTTTCCTGCAGCGTAGGGGAAACGTGTGCCCTTATATACTGCTCCAGGGACTCTGCTGTTCCCAAGCGCTGACCTGGCAGCTTGCTGCTCCTGCGTCCGATACACTCACATCTCTGCTGGTGATCTATGCCTGAACTTCGTCCTTCCAGAAAACTGCCAGGTAGGAGGAGGCTGGTTTCATCTTACTCACCTTTTAGTTTCTGTGCTGGCTTTTGCTAACAGAGCTCTCCAGCAGCAACCACTTTGCACTGTGGTGGTTTGCAGAGGCAAACAAACATCTTTTGGAGGAGAAGGGGGGACACCTTTAATCACAGGCCAATGTGTCAGCGTTCAAACACAGACCCTGGGATGCCTCCGTGGGCCCTCTCCCTAATGATATTCTCACTGCCTTGTTATGCACTTGCTTTGCTCCAGCCCAGCAGAATTACAGGTGCTTTTGTTGGGGCACAGCAGCTGTCTGGCAGGACTGAAGAAAACGGGGCTTTCCAGCAGCAAAAGGAAATTGCATTGGGAAACTGCCCAGATCCCTCCTCCTCCACCCTTTCTCCTCTTCCTCTGGCCATGGGGTCTGATGCACCTCCTGACCGAGGCAGCAAGGCCCTCGGGGGAGCTCTGTGTTGGCTCATGCTGGACCCCAGCAGACACCAGGGCCCTGCTGTGTTGCAGCTATGCAGATGCTGTAAGGGCTAAAGCAGCTTGTCCCGCTGCTCGTCACAGCTGCTCAGGGGACCAGGGCCCCACTTTATTTGCTATCCTGTATGCAGTGGTTGAGGGGAGGCTGCAGAGCCCATAAGGGAGGGCTCCTTCCCCCAGGGTGGGTAGGACAGGGAAGGGCAATAGGAGAGCACCCGCAGCTCTTGTGCTGACACTGGATAACAAGAGAAATAATGTTTTTTTTTTAACTTTCCTAGGTGGTTGTAATGACTGCACCAGAAGCTTTACCTGCTTGCTTTTAAAGAGAAGCTGGGATTGCTATTACAATAGTATCAATGCAAAAGATCTCCTTTTTAGAGGCAAACAAACTGTCTTTGCCTGAACTGCCTGCAGTAGTGAAGATCTTTCAACTAGAAACCTTTTAAAACTCTGGAGTTTTCTTATCTTTGTTTAGATAATATAAGTAGCTTGTCACTTTTATATTTTGAATTTCAGATGAGTCTGAAATTTCACATCTCAGAAGAATGTTTAACTCTTTGAACACTTTTCCAGTGATGATTTTTATTATTTCTCTCCAACTCTTACATCAGGCTTCTATAAGTTCCTTAAAAAAGCTGAACACAAAATAGCAGTAAGTGCCATAAGCCCTATCTTTAAGGGACTTCTCGTTGAACGAAGAATTGGCCCCCACAAATTAACTTTGCTGTACTCTGGAAAACCCACGCATGCCCCCAGCCTTGGCAGTGTGGATCTCCTGCTGCTACATGGGCACAAGGAACAGAGGAGATAAATGACACTTACCAGCATGTACTACCCTGCCCTGCCTTGCTGCCCATGGTGTGCTGCTGAACAGAAAGACTCTCACCTTTTTCAAACAGCTTTTTCTAGGCATTAACTGATGATTTCTTATGCATTTATGTACTAAGTGTGAGTCAGCTCTGAAGGCAAGATGAGCTGATTGGAAACCTGTAAAATGGTCTTCTCTACAGCACTGGTTAAATTTGTTTAGGGAACACAGTTAAAAAAAAAAATACCCAACTACTTGGACCAGAGTTGGGGCATGCCATAAATCCTTAGCTAAAGTAAGCAAGGTAGGTTATGCTTACAGTAACTTGCTTGCATCGCCATGCCTTTTATTAAAATATAGTAGAAATCCTTTTGGTCCTGCTATCAGTTTTGAAGCTGGCTGGAAGCCAGTTACAGTGGCTGACCCTGTATCTCTCTTTACATGACCAAAGTAAGCCAAAAGATGACCCATTCTATGTTATTACAATGTTTCAGACTTAACTTATTCAATAGTTTATATGAAAATAGTTATTGCATTTCTTGCATAGGAATAGGTATTCTGTATGAAGCAGCTTTACATTAGTACATGTGTAATACAGTTAAGGTGCGGTTCTGCAAAGCAGTCAGCTCTGGGATCAAGATTACGTTGGTCTGAGTATCTGCACACAAAATCACTGATTTAATCTAGTTTGCTTGAAATTGCACTTCTTCTGTAAACCATTGCAAGTAAGATTCAGGCAAAAAGAAACCAGTCTGTGCACAGGCTGTCCCACCCAGACTGGGTTCATGCAGAGGGTGGCCTCAGGGTGCTCTCGAGGCTGAAACGGGTCCCTTCCCTGCTCCAAGGGTGCCCTTGGGGCAGCCTGAGGAGCATTTCAACGCTGGGCAGAGAACACGTCCCCAGGGCTGTGTGGCCACAGGACAGACACAGAGACAGGCGGACACACGCACGTACAGGCACATGGCTGGACCTGGGCTGGGAGCGGGCAGCACTGGCCAAAGCGAATCCCAAACGGCTTGTCCCGGCCGAGAACTCGCTGCTCTCTGTGGGGAGCTGCCACAGGGTGTGAGGAGGAGGAGGAGGAGGAAGAACAGAAACAAACTTACCTTGTGAAACTTTGATGGTGAACAAAAGGAGGCAAAGGAACATGAAAGAAAGAGAGAGGGAGAAATGTAACTGTAGACAATATATCCGAAACACATGGAGAACCAGAAAAGAACGAATAAATTGGGGCTGCAAAGTAAACAGAGAACAGCTGCTCTACCATCAGACATTCACACCAGGGCTAAATGTTATTTAAAATCCTTGTACCTGAAGTGGATCATTTCATTTGGGGCTCTTGTTTAAAGAGGATGGGGGAACCCCCATCTGCTTTCCAGCTCACCGGCCCTGAGCTGGACAGGCTGGATGGACCAACACCTCTGAACGATACTGAAGGAAGGTGGGAAGCAAGACATCATGGTGTAGCAGACAGCGCACGGCACATCGGTCGCAGTCCCAGAGCTGGGAAAACCACACCTGATGGCTTTTGGGGCAGTTTTGCTGCTGAGTTTGCTTGTGCCCACAGATAACTCACAGCCAGGGTGTGCCTCAGCCCAGCCGGGTGATGCAAACCCTGGTGGCATTTAACATTCCTAGAATATTTTAAGAACTTACCCTACTGCAGCATTTGGTAGGAAACTGCAAGAGGATATTTTAACTACTTTCCTCAGGCATAGCTTGGGACATGCCTCTATTTAGATTTTTAAAAAGCCATAATAGATCTAAGCGGGCAATTTGTCCTCAAAATTTCCTTCGTTTCATGAAGGGTTACCAGCTGTTTTAGGATGTGGTTCTCTTCCAAGTCTCTCAAGCGCTTCCTGCTCCCTTTCCTTCCCAGGGCAGCTGTGTTACCTGCCCTAGCAGGGGCCCTGCAGAGTACAGAGGTTCAGTGATGCTTTCCAAAGTCCCTCATCTGCTGCTGCTTCTGGAAAGGTCTGAGTGCTGTAATTAGCAAAGGAGCGACAAGTGGACAGCATGATTACAGGTAATTTCTTACTACTAGCTGGCAGTCAGTCCCTGAGAGTCAGCTGCCCACTGCAGAAGCAGGGGCTGCACCAGGAGTCCCCACCCTGTAAAACCCCAAGCGATGGCACCTTTGCTTGTTCATAAGCGCAGCCATGCAAGTCATTAACTCAGAGGCCAGAAGCTGAGCAAGGGCTTCCTTCAGAAACCAGCCTTGACTTCTCGGATGCGTTCGTTAGAAGTGAAACAATGCCTGGACAAACAGTCCCTGACTTTGGTCCCCTATGCCACCTCAGTGTGATATTGCTATATTGATTTCTGTGGTATTTCTGTCAAAAAATGGCACAAAACCTTTTATAACGAGCTCTGAGCAGTTACGGAGTTCCTGGAAAGGCCATTCCTCTGCGTTCATTCGGCACGATGTAGCTAATGAAGACATGTGCTGCGTGGGCTGGGGACAAGGTGTGCCTTTCACAGAGGGAAACTTGCCCAGAAAGCCTTAGGAGGCTCATTTTCCAGTCGGCCTTGGCCAGCTAATTAGCTGTTTTGCCTCATCTCCATGCCTCATCCCTGCAGCTGTGATGAGGGGTTCGAGGAGGGCATGGTGTGGCAGCCACCAAGGGTGGCTGGGTATTTGCAGCGGCAAAGGGAGAGTCCAGATTATTTTCTTTTGCAAAAGAATTAAGTGCTTCCTTTTAATCTACCTTTGCCTTCAGACAGCAGGTAAAGAGAAAGATGGTTCCCAAAGCCATATGGCTGCTTAAAGAAGATATCTGTAGTGTTTAATGGGGCCAGCTGGCAAATCATTTAAATTAGCAGAGAAAATGCCCCATGCCATGGTGCTGCCAAAAGTAATTAAGTGTGACAGCAAAACTGCATTCAATTCATCTTCCTTCTGGGATATATCCTGCTAAAGGGCACCTTGCAGCCGATGAGGGCTGGGTGGGACCCTCTGAGGTCAGTCGGTCTCTTCCCGTGTCCCACCTTGCTCCTGACAGACGTGGGTCTACCTGCTCTTGGGGTCTTCCAGTGACGGAGGGGACAGATCCTGCCATGCCACCTCTTCAGCATTTTGACCTTACTGGAGGGAAAACGTCTCCTAATTTCCACACAGGTACTTCCTGCTGTTATTTAAGTCTGTCTTAGGCTAAACTGCTGCCCTCTCACGTTTGCTAGCCCACTGAACCTCCTCATTGCCTGCTGTCTCACAGTCCTCTGGACTCTCTCCAGGTTGTCCACATGAAGCACAGCCTCCAAAGCTGGCCACAAGCCTTGACACAGCTTTACGTGTGATGAGAAAGGTGAGGGGAGCAGTTAATGTCCTACAGGCTGTGCTCCTACCTGCCTGGGCGGTGTTTGTTCCCTCCACAGCAATGTACTCCTGTGCAGCTTGTGACTCACTGCAGCCACCACATCCTTCTCTGAAAAACAAGTTGTTCCCTAGCATGTATTTATGCAGTTGATTAATCTGTCCTTAGTGTCTTGGACTTGTCTCTACTGAGTAACATTTATTTTTTTCAGACTTTCTTTGATTTGCTTGACTCCAGACACTGCCCTCACTGTGCCTGCCATCCCTGCAGCCACCAGTGGTGTGGGGCTGGTAAGCCCCTTCTCCGGGCCATCATCAAGCCAGGAATTAAAATACTGAACAGAGATGGATTCAGGAAGGACCTTTCAACACACCTTTTCTTATATCTTTCCGGTTGAGGAAAATGCATTTAGAGAACAGTTCCCAAGTGCATTTTCACCCAGGCCACAGCTCCCTGGCTTGCTGGTAGGAACGCTGTGTGAGGTGGTACCAGCACTCGAAAGTCAGGAGGGATGGCTGACCACCGCTGCCACTCACAAAATGAATCCCTCTGCCCCAGGGCATCAGGCCAGTCTGACAGATTGCTCTTGGCAAACCCTGGTTGACTTTGTTTCTTTTTATTTTCTAAATGCATGCAAGTCACTTCTTTGATTACTTCTTCCAGGAATTGAAGTATACCTGATTGGCCTATAATTCTTCTCCTTTCCTCCTCATTAAAGACAGTATGACATTACCCCCAAATCTCTCCCCTCGGGGGGAGCAGGCTCCCCCTTATAAGGGCTGAGAATTAGCACTAGAAGATGAAAAACTGCAGCGAGCCTCCCTAACTCCCAGCCAGCTCTCTACCTGGGCAAGCCAGCCCTGATCCAGGGAGTGAGGCACTCACCCCTCAGGGAAAGCCGAAGTGGAGCCCCCAAACCCCAGCTGCTTCCCACCCTTTCTCTCACTGCTAGCCCCCATCAGCTTGGACACCACCCACTGCACCCTGTCTCTAGCCCACCAGAATCATATGGCACCCTCGCAGGGATGCGTGGAATCGGCCATTTCAAGGCGAGGAAGATTAGAGGTGGGCAGTAGTTTCATATTTTTTTTTAACCATTTCCCACCTGCATGCAGATTCAAGTTGCAAGAGTGTACAGTTTCTACAAATAGTTTGTTTGCACACAAACAAAAGCCAACCAAAGCAATCTGTTCCCTGGCAGTGTTTTCAAGTGAAAAGTCTTATTTATTGCATTTGAAACATTGTTTCCTTTTTAAGTTATTACTTTCTCTCTTTTTTTTAACATGAAAACAAAGCTTTAAAAAACAAACCATTTTGGCTCTGACAGGAATGTTTGATCCAGCTGGGAGCAGTTGATCACTTCTGTTCTTTGTTTTGATTGAAAAATGTGTTTTCTTTTATTCTCCATCAACCAAGAGCTGCTTTATTTAGCCATTATTTTCTCTGCATGGTAAGTAAACTTAAAACCCAGCTGTTTAATGAGACAGCAAGAAACTGCCAAGGGCTGCAACTTGTCAAATAGCTGGTTAATATAAGACACACTGACTCCTCTTACCCTTCTCTAATGCCACCAGTGGGGCCGGGATGAAATACTGTTGCTGTGGTTGGGGACCTCTTGGCCTGAGCATTTCCACCACATGCTGCTCACCCACCCTCTGCTTCCCAAACTGGTGTGGTCCAGCCAGGTGTGGGGAACAGCTTTGGGGCAATACTTCAAAGTTGTATGGTTTTCCCCAGCAACCAAGCTGGGAAATGAGTAAGACCCTCCTGAGCCCCAGCCCCTCTATCCGGAGGACATACATGAACAGGACTAGGGAGAAAAGCAAGTCACTCTTTCAGCTGGAGCTCTTTGCCTGGACAAAGAATTTCCTGCCTCTCCCCACAACTGCAGAACTGGGTCCTGCCAGACAGTGACCCATGCACGGAGGCTGTCCAGCAGAGGAATAGAAGAGCATATGATTATGAACACGTAATTATGGGATTACACACAAATTGGGCAGGTTTTTAAAGACACATCACAGATGTACACCAATTCACAGTTTATCCTCAGGAATAACTTAGGCTACCCCTGCTCTGTGGGTACATCTGAGAGGAAACTTGGAAGGTGGTTTGCAAGGAAAAAACAAAGGGCAGTGCTGCCTTCATCCTGAGGGAAGCCTTTTGCCTTGCTTAGTTCAGGCTTTTAATACTCATTTCTTGCTCTGTGTGGAGATTGACCTTAACTCAGCCTGTAAATTGAAGCTGGCTCAGAAATCAGCAGGTGGTTTGGTGAGAGGGTTTAACCCCTGGGTGTGGTTGCTGATGTGCACTGTTTTCCTGCTGTTTTTTTTCAATTTCATTCCTCTCGTCTTTAGGCAGGTGCCTGGAAATTTCCTGAGATCCTCTCTCCTCATCTGTCATGCAGCCACAAATGTCAGCAGCAGCAATGACAAAGTGGAGCCCCTTCAAACCAAAAAGCAAAAGCTGCAGGTGAGACGTTCTCTGGGAGAAGTGCTTGCTTTGGGAACTGCCTGCCCTGCCAGCCTGAAGGATGACCTGTTTGGTTTGGGGCAAGTTTGGTTTGGGGCAACGCCCACTGGCCTCTGCCAGCCTTTAGAAAGGGAGAGGGGTCTTGCAGACACAATCAGCACCCTGAGCTGCAGGCTGCTTCTGGCTCTGGTGGTGAGGTGAGCCTGTCACATAATTCTCTGTGATATGATACAGGTGGTATGATACAGATATGATACAACTTTTACACCAATAAAAGTCTTTAGCAGATAGAGAGCCTGTATTCTAGATTGGTAATACAGACTAACTGGGTGACCTGAATTATGTACACTTTAAAAAAGGATTCCTCTCTTCTTCCCCTAGACTAATGTTTAGGAGGCTTCTTAAAGGGTATAGGGGAAATCCTTCTAGGAGTAGCTACACAGTCCTGGTCAGCCTAAGAACTTCGTGTGAAACATGAGAAAAAGCCTTTGGATAAATGTGTTCTGGGGAGGAAGGGGATGGTCCAGGAGAGTCCCCAGAGCTTTTCTGAGAACAGCTGGCCCTGTGTGCCCCATGGGAGCAGAACCCACCCCGCAGCAAGGTCTTGCTAACTGGCAAGATGCACCCAGAGTCGCGAGGGAGAAAGGGCTTTCTCGTTCAGTCATGCACGTGGATGTGACCAGGGCAGAAGGGGATCCAGACAGAAAAGTTCATAGTGCTGGGGGGCTTCATCCCTTCCTGAACTTTTAATTTTGTAAAGGGGAAAGGAAGATCCTAACCCATGTGGTGGGATGGGATGCTTGTCCAGATGCGTCGCAGGGCCCATCCCAACTGCATTCCAACAATTCTTCTGCCTACTGCATTTCTCATGGACTTGCAGAGCCCATCCTGTGGCTTGTCTACCCTACAGTGCAGCCCGATGGCTTGCAGGGGCATTATCTGGGACCCAGCAACAGGGCCATGGAGGGGAAAGTCTGAGGGGATGAGTACGCTGTACTTACTTGCGAGAATGACCATGTCCATCCCCCAAAATATACTCATAATCCAGCCAACCATCACGATCGCCGTCAGGATCTGAATCAGAGCAGCAGCAATATTCAGCCAGAAGACACAACACATGTGCCTGTCGGGGAGGTCGGTCCGGGCTCCGCACAGCACAGTGAAAGCAGATACAAATGTTCCTAGGGAGAGAGCAGCAACAAAACACCCAGTGAAAGCCACGGCTTCATGCCAAATTCCTTCCCTTAGACCCACTTTTCATAGCATCCCACTTCTTGTGCTCCCACTGCAGTGCTGAAAAGCTGGAAACATTTTACAGAAGGACAAATGGAGGCACAGCCACTTCTCATTCAAACACGCTTCTGTCTCCCATTGAATTACACCAATATGTATACTTTAAAACCGGGACAGAAAAAGCACTTCGCATTTTGGCTCCCTCTCCCCCACCCCACAGTAACCACTTATGCACTGTAGGCAGTTTACACTGGACTGCTGTGTGTCTGTGGAAATACCACTCTACCTTTTTTCTGCCTGGTGGCTCTTCACTGGGGAGAACCTTTATGACACAGAAGCTCTAAAAGGGAAAACTGAACCCAGCGTTAGAGCAGAACTGGCTCTAGAAAGTTGTATGGGTCTGGCAATCTGTTACTATTTACAAATACTGCTCTAGAAGGAGCATGCACAAAAAAAGGCGTGCTAATGTGGCACCGCATCTTTGCACAAAGCTTTCCCCACTCACAAGTTGTTACCTGAGAGCATGTTTCAACAAAGCAGAAGCAACTAAACCAGTGCTGCAGCCAGGTGACCTGGTGTTGCAGCCCTTGGCTCTGCTTGACACCAACTTACAAAACTTGCAAACACCCTTCAGACTTCCTAAAACAATTCAGATGAAGGATCTTGTTGATGTATAAAAGTTAAAGCTGGAGGGAAAAAAACAGCACAGCAGCTTTTACAAAGATTCTTCCTGAATTTACCACATTGGACAAGCCTGATCATTTATTTGCAGCTGATGTCCTGGGCCCATGGCTAGCTGAAACCTACAGCTCGGGGAAGCCTTGTCTGTCCTACAACCAACCTGCAGAAATACACAGCATGGGCAAAGAGCAGAAGAAAATGTTTCTGACCCCTATAATGTACAAGCTGCTGGCCAGGATGTTCAGTCACCTGATCTAAGTTTGCATTTCAACAACTCTTATCATTGTCTTTGGGGTTTTTTTAATATAAGTACAGCATTGCTAAGGTAGGTACAGAGGTATAATGTGATTGTACTAGTTAACGTAGTTCTCTGAAATGCTTTCTTTAATGAATGCCTTCCTGCAGCATGATGTCCAGTGGTTCTGACAAAAATTGCCCTTTTTCCTATCAAAGGCTGGAAGCCTGAAAACACCCTGTAAGATGTGAATGAATTAACTCATCTTCAGTGCACACAAGTGCCGCCTTGAACTCAGGGGATGGAGGGAGTCCCTTGGCTTGACTGAAGATCAGGGGAAAACATTCAGTTTACACCCTTCCAGCAGACCTCACCAGACGGAGAGAGGAGAAGGATTTAGTTAGGAGCAAAATACCCTTTTGTCCTGCACTGCCAGGGTGGAGGAAGAAATAACCTCTTCCACTGCTGCCTCTTCTTCAGTGGGTCACAAGGATGACAGGCAGTTGAGATTCCAAAATGCTGGGGAAGGATGGCTACAGCCTATTTTTAATCTCACCACCCTCTGCAGGCTTCAACTCCAGCATCTTCCTAACACTCCACCAGCTCCTAAAACCCCGCTTGTCTTCCTACCACTGGCTCAATCTGATTTAGTACTCCCACCCGCTCCCTTTGCCGAAGCCGGGCGCGGAGCAGCCGCGGAGCGGCACTGCGGCGGAGGGGGGTGGGTGACCATGGCTGGGGCGGTTGGGGGGCAGCCCTACGGCAGAGCATCCCTGGCAGGGAAAGGGGCAGTGTCTTCTCCTGTGTGAGAAATCCCCTCCTGGGGCTCCGTCCTCTGACTGTTCGGCTTTCACAGGCAGGGTTTCATCCCCTTATCCACCAGAACAAAAAGATCTGCCTGGAGGAAAAGGGGAAATAATTTTAATCCCAAAGGATGCTGTATAAATTTCCCCGTTGCTTGTTAAAAGAAAGGCTGTCTTTTGCTTTGCTATCCATGTCTTTTGTGTCTTCCATGTGGGATTACATTAGATTTCTGACCTGCTTCACCTACCTTTTCTTTCTTTTATAGTTTCTCTGTAGCAGAAGGAAGCCTCAAATATTCCCCTATGCTTACTGAAACCTGTCTGCAAAGTTACACCACAGCACTCTCTGAAATTAAATATGGATTGAGGCAAGATCAGAGACTGAGTGTTCATGTTTTCCCATTAGGATGCAAAATCCTGCCAAATGGAAATGCATGTCTCTTTTTAAAATGAAAATGAGAATCTTCCCCTCTTGCCTTACCTTTAACTCTTCCAAGATGTGTTACAAAAAAGGTCATAAATGAGCAATAATTCTTAAACTACAGCTTCAAATCCTTCCAGTGAAGCTTTTAAGATTTTTACATCATTAAAGTGAGATGCTGAATTAGCTAATTAATCCCCTAAACACCACAGTGACTAAGCTAATGTCTAGTCCCATTGAGAAAGGAATAAAGCAAACAAAGCAGTTAAGTGCCCCTCTCTGGACAGGGAATTGATACAGAAACTAAGATTAAAATCCAGCAAACCTTGGATTCTCATTCCCTCTTCAGGCCACTTTCAGAGAGCCAATTAATTTTCCAGTGCCAGTGCACATTCTTTATTAATTATGATTAACCAATCTTTGGGAGGTTGTTGGCATTTTTAAATATAAGACTTGAGACATGCCAGCAGATGTTAAGATGGCAGCATTTTTCATCTAGTCCACATATGCTTTAAAATGTGAAGCAGAAGAATGCATTTGCCAAGGTAGATGTTTTCCCCCTAAGAATCTGTTGTAGTTACACATTGCCGAATATGGAAGTGCTTGCATCTGGAAGCAGAGGTGGAGAGAAGGAGGAGTAGGAAGAAGGCAAGCAAGCTGCATTTGTCAGAGCTGAGGCACCAAACCATTTCCCTTCCTGACGAAGCATTCAGACACCTCAATACCTATAGCCTAGAAATCATAAACTTGGTATGCAAACTGCAGCTGGGGTGATGTTGGCCAAATAAATCAGCTGCCCAAAAAGGTCTCAGGCTGTGAGTGTAACCAGCAAACACAAACTGCTAACTTTGCAAGCAGATGTAAACTAAAAGCCCCCACTGTTACGCCAGCGTAGCATGAGATAAGTGAAGAATATCAAGCATTTTTTATACCCAAAACACAGTAAAATATGGGATTATTCTAAATTGTGTATTAACACAGCCTCTTTGGGGACAGAGGGGAGGCAATGGGTAAATGATGTCCTCCTCTACGTAACGAGTCTGTTTATTCGGCCTCATGGGGCATCAGGGCCACTGCAATCGCCCGGCTGAGCCACACAGCCCGCCCGGCCCCGGGGCCAGCAAGGGCCCAGGGCTGGGCAGCAGGATGGGGGGGAGCTGGGCTTTGTCCTTCTGGAGCAGCTTTGGGGCGGAGGGGGAAGGCACCATGTGCAGCGAGGCTGAGAAGGGATGGGGGGCTGAGGTTGCTCTTTCAGCTCATCTTGTCTCACTTGGGGCAGCGTCAGCTAGCCAGGGCTCCACATGCCATTTTCGACAGGGAAGAAAACCTCTGGGAGCCTGTGTTTGCCTTTGCTGTCAGCTGAACTGGGGTATTTTTAGATTACACCAGTAAATATCAAAGGCTTTTTGTTTTCAACAGTTTAACCCCTTGAAGATGAAGGGGATGTGTTATCTGTAGGACAACACTATAAAGGAAGAGACAAAAGGAGGGGGTTTTGCCTTTCCTCTTCTCTCAGGTCCACCATCATGCAGGACGAAGTCCCCTCTCCAGTGTATGCTGGTACCCTGGCAGCCATGGCCGTCCCAAGAGCAACACCTGCTGGCTCCTAACCTCACAGAGCACACCAAAATAGTATGAGAGAGGAACAGTTTGGGTTTTTTCACTTAGAGGTAAAACTCACACCCTGGAGAGAACTCTCCTGGCTTACTATTGTTTGGGTCACATATCTGGGGTGGAAGAAGATAGGAGGTCAAGCCTATGGCCTGTCCTCAGCACAGCATCCTCTGTGCTATCTGAGTGCAGCAGTGATTGTGCTACGGAGTGTCTTAAGCTGCATTAGAGAAGTCTTTCTCTTCTATTTTTGCAAGAAAGCCTATCCTGGGCACTTCTGCGGGAGCTTCAGCCAGACATGGAGCTTGGCATGTTTCATGTGGAGGACCTGGCTTTGAGCAAACTTCTGATGGCACCTTCCCAGAAACATCAGAAGTGGGAACCTGGTTGGAGCCAGGGTACCAACCAGAGCCAGATGAGACACCAATGGCCACACTGTAAGTAATGTGAGCACACAGATAACTTGTTAGTGGGCTTCCCACTGACTACCAGATATCTGAAACTTCACAACAGAAAGCATCTCTGCTGCAAGGAAATCACGTCTGATGAGCTGCCCTCTTACAGGTGGAGAAACAGCAGAAACCCAAATTACTGCAGTCAGGTGCATCTTGTAAAGCTGCCGCTGCTGGTCATCGTCCCTACCCTACAAACGCCTGGAGCCAGGGAGGGGCTGAGAAACTCCCCTTCCTCTTCCTACAAGCCTGGAGGTTATTTAAGATGTTCTCCCATAGCACTGAGAATAAATAAGGTGGTGGGATAGTGCTTCTTTCCCTGCTCCCAGAGAGGAAAAATGGGACTATGTCATGATGCTGGATTACAGCTGCAGGTAAGCACAGGCAAAGATGGAGAGGAGAGTGAAATTTGAGGTGTCTGTGGGAGCATGGAAGGCTGTTGGATATATGATGGGAGATGTAGTTAATAAGTATGTGTTGTGTGGGGATGGGATGTAAATGTATAGGTTGTATTGTGTCAGGGGGGCTGTCTGTGTAGCAACACATCTGATATGCCTTTGAATTTTCTAAGTATAAACGATTATTAACTGTCATTAAACAGTGATGGCAAGTATATGAGGCAGATGTTGTGGATGGGCTGAAAATTCTTGAGATGTGCTGGTTCTTGCTTGTGTGAGTTAAAAAAATCTGTGTGAGAAGGGTAATAAAGATTGCACTTGTTTCCTTGGTATTACAGTGAATGTGA